ACACTGCCCGTCGCCGCACCGTGTTGGTCACCATTTTGTAGTGGGAGGCTCGCAACTCGGACCGTGCGCAGGTCCTGCAGGCTGGCCTGTGACCGCCCGTCTCCGCCCGTCGCGGCCGTCCGTCGCCGCACCATTTTGGTCACGATGTTGTCTGTGAGGTTCGCGTGTTGCATTCCATTGCATTGTTTTGCCTTGCGTTGTACTGTTTTTGCATGCGTTTGCATCACATTGCGTTGCTTTTCCTTGCTTCTCATTGCTTGGCGCTGCTGCACGGTACTCTGCATTGCTTCGCATTGCCTTACATTCATTTGCATTGCATTGCACTGCGTTGCGCTGCATTGCGCTGCGTTGCTTTGCGCTGCTTTGCATTGATTTGCACTGCTTTGCACATAATAGATTGCGCCACATGGGCTGCACACCTAGATTGCACCACATTGACTGCACCACCTAGAATGCACCGCGCGGATCGCAAGAGATAACTATTTGGGGTCCATGCTGGCTGACAGTATGCACATACACATGCGTGTGTGTGTATGTATGTACGTTTGTGTATGCATCTATGTATATATATATGTGTATACATACATATACATATATATATATATATATATATATATGTGTATATGTATATGTACATGCATAATTGAGAAGCGAGCGGAATTCCCGAGACACGTGGCCTCAGCGGGAAGCACACGCGCGAGGCCTGACTGCAGGGGGAGAGGAGAGTGCAGGCAACCGCACAACGCAGGGAAAGCAGAACACTCTGGAACGATCCCGTTGCTGGTACTTCAAGCCGGTGGAGGGCGGTGAGAATCTATGTATATATATGTATCATCTACCATACATATGTCTATGTATATATGTATCGATTTATATGTGCATGTATACACAAGTTCCGATGTATGTGTGCACATACCAGGGTTACCGAGCCCACTGCTAGGGCTGCGGCCCACGAACCAACCTCCTCCTGCCGCTGCAGCGCGGTGTCTCTGGACACACGTCGCTGCAGCGGGAGGCACACGCGCGAGGCCTCACTGCAGGGGGGAGAGAAGGCGTGCGCAACCGCGCAGCACAGCGGAAAACAAAACAAACAATCTGGAGCGATGCTGCCGCTGTTGCTGGAGGGGGGGAGAGGCGCCTGGTGAAGGACCACGTCCCACCAATGGTGGCGCGACGTCCCGTCTGCGGCTCAGGATCTGCCAGCGTGCCAGCGCATGGTGTGCTCCTGCACGAGAAGCGCCTGAGGCAACGTCCCATTGGAGAAATATGATGCGTATCTCTGCAGACTTTGGCGGCGCGCACGAGGCGGTGGAGGGAGGGGGAGGGCTTCTTTGAAGGAGGCTGCTTCTTAGAAGGCGCCGGCCTTACATCTATAGATGAGGCCCGCGCCTTCTGAGAAGCAGGGGTGCTCCTAAGAAGCCCTCCCCCCTCCCCCCAACCCCCTCTGCGCGTGGCTGAATAGTGATGTGTGAGCAGCGGGATCCCTGCCAGGGCTGTGGCCCACGCGGCGAGCTCTCCTCCTGCCGCTGCGGCGAGCGGTGCCTCTGGACACACGCGCCGCCGGCAGCGAAAAGCACGCGGGCCCCACTGCCAGGGGGGGAGGACGAGCGCGAGCAGCGCAGCACGAGGGGGAAAAACAAACATCTGGCGCGATGCTGCCGCTGTTGCTGGACGGCGGGTAAGATTGGGCGCCCGAGCTATCCGGGGCAACTCGGACCCGGGGTAACTCGGGTTCGGGCACCCGAAGAGAAAACGACCCCGGGATCGCCCTGGCCCGAATTACCCCTGATGATTTGGGGCTATGGGCGCCCGAATTATCCGGGATAACTCGGGTCCGGGGCAACTCGGCTTCGGATTTCCCAAATAGCAAGCCCGAGTTAGCCTTGACCCGAGTTAGCCCTGATGACCCGTCGCTCCGATAAAAGGCGCCGCGTGAAGGCACCTGTCCAACCATTGCGGCGCAGCGTCCCCTATGCGGCTCACGGTAAGCCGGCCTGCCGGCGCGACGACTGCCAGCGTGCCAGCGCACGGCGTGCTCCTGCACGCGAGAAGCGCCTGAGGCAACATCACGGAGGAGATGTCCTATACACAACAACCTATTGGTGATGTGCTCACCCTTCCCCGCGGCAACAGGCCAGAGCATGCACCGAGGACGTCGTAATTGACAAATGGCTCCCAAAGGATGCGAAGGCTAAGTGCTGGAATCACGATGGTGCTCCACACGGCTCCATCGCTCTCGTACGATCTAACCGCTCCATCTCGAACTGCACGTCAAGGTGGCGTGGTGGTGCCAACCCAGCGTCTCAAGGAGACTACTGTTGATGGCACATGGTACGAATACACCACGGTATCTTAGGGGAAAACAAACCTACCTCGCTTTTGACCACCCTCGCTTCCAAGAGATACCAAACGATGCCAAATTGCAGCCTGTACTGGTCAGGCCGCTTGACGAGGAGGCGCGTGGTATGGCTTGGTTTTGCCTGGAAGCGAAAGCGGTGTAGGTAATTCACGCTCTGAGTATCGGCATGGCCTTCTGCTTCAAAACGACTGCCCGATAAGAACGGCCTCGCCCCTTTGACTGGGAAAGCCGTGGATCCAACTGGCCAAGCCGTGGACCGAATGCATAACAATCCGTGGCGAAACACTGCTGCCAGCATTCCCGATGTCGGGCACGTCCAAGGCCAAGACCAGAGCGAGACACGGGAAGAAACGCCATTTGCAGGCGACGCTGCACCATTCGCACAACCGCCCGTGTGCATTATACAACGCATGCTGCATCAACCTGCTCACGGCCGCTTCTCTTCCACGCCACTCACTCCGAGCCTTGCTGCCGGGCGACGGTGGCGGCGCTTGCCGCACCCGTCATCGACGTGGCAGTGGTGACAGCCCGGGCCGGCCCGGCACACGCCCCTCCGCTGGTAGTCGCACAGCCTGCACTCCCCGCGGGCGTGGCCCCTGCTGCCGAGGCTCGGCCACCCCATCCGCCTCATGGTCAGCCACTCGCTGACCCTCGCCACCTGGCGCCGCGGCTCGCCCGCGGGCACCGCGTCGAGCAGCATGGACACGTTGACGGCGACCGCCTCCCCGGACGCCTCGCTGGAGCTCAGCGTGGAGCGCGTGACCTCCGACGGCGTCCTCGGCTCTGCCGGGCCGCCCCCGGCCTGGGCCGCGGCCGGCGCCGCCGCCGCCCACGGCCGCGGCGGGCCGATCGGCGCCGCGGGCGGCGCGCCCTCCGCGCGGCCGGGGCGCGGCGGCTCCGACCGCGGGCGGGGCGGCGCCGGGCTCGGGCCCGCCGCGTGCACGCGCAGGAAGGTGCCGCGGGTGCTCACCGGGTGCCTCCGCGCGGCAAGCCGGCCCACGTCCGCGGAGCACACGGCCATGGCCGCCGCGCCCCGCCGCGGGCCCGCCCCCACGACCAGGGGCAGGTGCCGATCGGGCTGCCGCACCGCCAGGTGGGCCCGCCCGCGCGGCCGCTTCCTCGCCTCGGGGAGCCAGGACACCTCCCTCACGGCCACGGGCTCCGTCACCACCCGGTGCACGACCACGCTGTCCACCCCCGGGGACAGCTCCGCGGCCCTCGTAACAAACAAGCCAACACAAAGCACGGGGCACCAGCATGGTCTTCCGGGCCGCCGGAAGATCATGCTTCCTCCCCAGACGGTGCTTGCACTTGGGGGCTCTTGCTTCCTGTCAATGAGGTAGTTGGTTGGCATCCCAGGTGCTCGCTACGCTGCGGCTCGTGCCGCCTACTGGGCGCCTCGTTGGCGCCCCGCGCTCGGGGGGCATGCCGAGGTTGCGCCACGTTGCCGCCAGTGCCGGGTCGCTGGACGGATAAAACCGAGGTTGCGCCACGTTGCCGCCCGTGCCGCCTCGTGGGCGCCTCGTGGGCGCCCCGCGATTGGGGGTAGGTCAAGGTTGCGCCACGTTTGCCGCCAGTGCCGCCTCGTGGGCGCCCCGTGTTCTTGGGGGGGGGTATGCCTAGGTTGCGCCACGTTGCCGAGCGTGCCGCCTCGTGGGCGCCTCGTGGGCGCCCCGCGATTGGGGGTATGCCGAGGTTGCGCCAGGCTGCCGCCCATGCCCCCTCGTTTGCGCCCCGTGCGTTGGGGGGGATAGGCGCTGGTTGCGCCACGTTGCCGTCCGTGCCGTCCGTGCCACCCCGTGCTCTAAGACTCTAAGCTTGCGCAGTATCGCTTACACAACATCGCGTGTAGCACACACAACATTATCCTACATCACATAGATTGTACCCCAGAGCTTCCACCTCCAGTTTACACAACATAGCTTACACAACATAGCTTGCACCACATAGCTTGCACCGCACGGTGTTCAACACGTCAGCTCAGACAACATGGTGCTCACCACATAACTTACGCAGCACAGCTTCCGCCTCCACAGTGCACTATCGGGCGTTGGCAGAACTGGGTTTAGTGGGACCAGGTTTAATGATCTGTACCAGGGACGCCCCCCGTCCCATTCCACTAACCGGAACTGCCGTCACCCGAACAACCACCAACTATGGCAAACCTGGTTTAGTGATGCTGACCCATTCAAAGGCTGCAGGGCCCTGCCACTAACCGGGTCCCCTTACCTGGGGTCCTGGCCAAACCCAACACTAGCGCACTTGTTGGGGTCCGGGGAGGAGGAGGAGGAGGAGGAGGAGGAGGAGGAGGAGGAGGAGGAGGAGGAGGGGGAGGAGGAGGAGGAGGAGGAGGAGGAGGAGGAGGAGGAGGAAGGAGAGGGAGGAGGAGGAGAAGGAGGAGGGGGAGGAGGAGGAGGAGAGAGAGGAGGAGGAGGAGCAGGAGGAGGAGCAGGAGGAGGAGGAGGAGGAGCGCTTGCTAGCATGGACTGTTTCTTCTTCGACCTGATCGCCACATCTCTCTGGCTCGCCGGCTGCACGGGGTGGTCCGCGGTCATCGCGAGCCGCGTCCCGTCGGCGAGGCCCACCGTGACCCACGGGACCTCCAGGAAGTCCACCTGCTTCTCGAGCACCTCGGCGTACCTCACGGACCGCCCCAGCGAGTCGTAGCACAGCACGCGCTGGCCCTGCTCGAGGTCCTCTCGGCGGCGAGCGAGGGGGGGAAGTGAGAAGGAGAAGACCCTCTGACAAGGTTCGGGAGTCCCCTGGCCTTCTGAGAAGTTTCCTAACCCTTCCCCCAAGACGGAAACAACTTCTCAGAAGGCGCGAGGGCGTCTGAGAAGTCCCGCCACCTTCTGAGAAGGCCTTCTCCTTCTCACTTCCTCCCATCGCTCGCCGCCGATCCTTGATCGCGCACGGCTCGGACCGGCCCTCGACCCACAGGCCTCAAGGGACACAACAAAGGGGGGTACGGGCTCGAGGGGGGCACAGTCAAAATCAGCGATGAGGAGAGAGTCCAAGGGTGCAAGCATGCGCGCGCCCAAGCCCAGCAACGAAGAATGCAAGGTGCCATTGCGACAAGGACCCATCCTCAACGCCGGCTTTAGATGCAACGTCGGCGTGTAATCGGCGATGCATCGCCAATATAACGGCGACATGCCCTAGATATAAGTCGGGCCTGTCCCCCTACGGGGGGATTTTCAACGAAAAAACAATACTCCACAACTAATCAGAAATAGTCTAAAATTAGTCTGGGGACTACTTTTTGAATACTTTCTGACCTTCTTGGGGTATTCTTAGGGTCTTTTTTCATTTTTCGTCGAAAATCCCCCTGTAGGGGGAGGGGGACAGGCCCGACTTAATGTTATCCCCGACGCCCTGTGTTTTCCACGTCGAGCACCCCCGGGGGCCTGAGCCTTTTCCCAGGGGCCAGCTTTTTGGCCCGAGTCTTTCACGCACGGCCACGGGCGCGTTTTTCTGCATTTTTGGCGACAGTGGGCGTATAGAGGGGGGGGGGGGGGGGGGGACGGGCCCTGTGACGGGGCCCGGCGAGGGCCCCAAAGGGGCCCTTCATCGTGACTGCTGCCCGCGGCGCGAGGAGGTTCTTGGACCCCCGGGCCCCGGCGAGGGCCCCGAGAGAGGCCGAACGCTGCCCGAAGCCTGCCGCGCCGCGATTCTTGCCCGCGGAGGCCGAGGGCGTGGGGGCTCTGGGCCAGCAGCCAAGAGGCTCTTCCAGGGGGGCCGAAGAGGCTCTTCCAGGGGGCCAAGAAGTCCTTCAGGGGGGCCGAAGAGGCCCTTCAAGGGGGGGCCAAGAAGCCCTTCAGAGGGGGTCCAAAGGCTCTTCACGGGGACCACGCAGCTCTTCAGGGGGGCCGGCAAGGCTCTTCCGGGGGGGCCTCCACCAGTCGCGAAAATTGCATACTCCGGAGACCTCTTGGCCGTACTAACAGACACCAGGCCGCACCAGAAAAACCTTACCTCCCCCTCCCCTATAAGAACAGCGCAGCACACCCCCCACAACCAGTTGGGGACCCCCTGGATCACCAGGCCGAGCGTGGGGGTCCTGGCTGGGGGGGTGGGGGGGGATCTCCTGGCCCCCGCGACCACCCAAAAATACCCCCCCCCCCCAAGCCAGGAAGCCCTGGATCACCAGGTCGGGAGTGGGGGTCCTGGCTGGAGGGGTGGGGGGGGGGGGGGAATCCTTTGGGGGTGATGTTCTGGCCCCCGGACCGTTCAACACACACTTCCGCCCCGAGCCAGGGCCCCCTGGATCACCAGGTCGGAAGTGGGGGGTCCCTGGCTGGGGGGGGGGGGGGATGTGCCCCCCGACCACCTCAAAACACCGCCCCGCACCGAGCCAGGACCCCTGGATCACCAGGTCGGGGGTGGGGGCCCTGGCTGGGGGGGGGGGGGCGGGTGGACTGCCCCTTCCCCCTGGTCCTGTGAAGAGAACCCTGGAGGCCTCGCGCGGCAACCAAGACCCGATTGACGTCGGATCCACGTCGGATTCACGTCGGCTCTACGTCGGCTTCACGTCGGATTTGCGTCGGACTGACGCCGGAGCATCGCCGCGCTCACGTCGACCCATGGCTTACGGAGCTGACCCGTGGACTAGATGATTCTACCATTACGCGCCGCGCGAGGCCTCCAGGACTTTCCTCATAACTGCTCGTTGCCCCCCCCGAGCGCCGGCGTCCAACGGCAGGCAGTCCATGCCACCCGGGGCGGCCTCCGCGTCGGCCCCGCCGCCAGCCTCCCGTCTGGCGGGGCAGGCCCCCTGCGGGCGGGGGGGACAGAAGCAGTGCCTCGCCATCGCTCGGACGTCCACTCCCCGTGTTCTTGCTCGGCTCCGTGCGTGGCTTCTTCGCCAAAGGATCGAGGATGCTCCTCGATATGGTCCTCGCCGAACAAAAAAAAAAAAAAAAAAAAAACACGTCCGAGCGATGCCAGGATGCCGTCCGGCATCTCGGGCCAGCGTGCCGCGGCGACGGCCCAGCCAGCACGGTGTGCCCTGCCAGCGGAGGGAGGCGCGCGCCGCTCCGCTCCGCGGGGAAGGGAGGCCGGGAAGAGCCCGGGGCGTGGACGCCTGCAGACCGGCGCGCCCCCCCCTGCTTGCCAGGGGAACTGCCCGCAGACGGCAGGGAGCCGCCGCGGGGGGAACCCACGAGCCACTGCAGCGAGGAAGACAGGTGTGCTTGTCGGACGTCTGCGAGCCGGCACTCCCAGGGACCCCGTATTGAAAAAATCACGACATCGGATCTCAGGGTGTGTGTTTGTCGGACGTCTGCGAGTTGCGACTGGCGGAACGCGCTCGGTGCGCCCGGGGACCGCGGCGGGACGTCGACGCCCCGGGGCCGCGGCGTGGGCCGCGTGCCGGCCGGGGCGTGGTGGGCCAGAAGCGGCGGCGCGCGGCACGCGAATCCCCGACTGCGGACCGCGCTCCAGCGGCACGCTACCGGGGGGTGCCCACGAGGGCGCGCGGCTGCTGCACATCGGGGGAGGGAGCGCGGCACAGCCATAGGTCGGGCCTGTCCCCTGCAGGCTGAGTTCGGACGTAGAATGCCAAGTGCCCAACAAATGCTGAAACAATGTTCAGACATGGTCAGACAAATCGTTCCCGAAGCATTTCTGGACTATCCTTGCATATTTCCAATGTGGAGGGGAGCGCCCGACCTAAGCAAAGTCACAGACTGTCAACTGGCCGCGCGGATTTCTGAGATCGGCACTGGGTCCCCTCCCTGTCGCGCGGAGCGCGTCATGGCTGGGGCCGGAGGCGATTCTGCAGTCCGTCCTTCTTCGCTGCAGAGCAAACGCCTCGCCTCTCCGACTACAGCGACAGCGAGGGAGCAACACGCCGAGAGGCCTCCGAACGGCAGGGCGTCACGCCCAGACATCCTCAGAAATGATGCTTTCGATCCGCGGCCACAGGGCTCCCGACCCCTTCGCCTGGGGCAGCATGTGCGTCCTGAGCCTGTTTCTGGTAGCCCCCACGCCCAATAGCAGGCACCGGAGGCCCAAATCCAACGACACTGTCCGCGTGTGTGAGGGGCGGCTTGTCTGTTCGAGTCGTCGTCTCCGTCAGTCGTCGTCTCCGCCGCTCCCTTTCCCTGCACCCTCCTCCTCAAGCCTGTCAGCGAGAGAACAATCTTGCAATGTCGCAATCGACTCGAAGGGAAGTCCGTCGGGGGGGGGGTCCTGGGGGGGCTAGGGGGTGGGTCCTGAAGGGGGTCTCGGAGGGGAGTCAGATACGCATCCCCCTCTTCTTGTCCTGGGGCCTTCGAAAGTACCAAGACAGGCCAACAGTGACCCAAGAGGCCCCCGAGACGGTCCAAGACGGCCCCCAATCGCCAACCTATCGGTCTAAAACGCTTTGACGCCCTCCAGACTACCCAGCAGGCCGCCAAGACGTCTCAAGAAGCTTCCAAGGGCACTCCCGAAAAGGGCCCTACGAGGCACAATTCATTGATTTCCCTCGCCGTTACCGCTCCCCGCCGATCAAAGACGGCTACGAAGACCCCCAAGATCGCACCAAGGTGGCCCAAGAAGACCCCAAGATGGCCCCCACAAAGCCCAGGAGAACCCCAAGACGGCGCCAAGAGCAAACGGGGGACCCGAACGGACATTTCGAGCCCTCGGCCCCTAGAGGTTCCCATGAGGCCCCAAGAGGTTCCCAAGAGGCCCCAAGAAGCTGCCAAAGGGCCCCCAAAAGGCTAGGCTCCAGAATTCCTCCCCAGATGGCCCGCGAGAGCCTTCCGAAAAGAGCCCTAGAGGAATCCCCCTGGCCACCGTCAACGTCGTCGTCGTCGCCGCCCCACGCTGTTGTCGTCGTCGTCCCCCTGCAGTGTCGGCGGCACCGGCCGTAAGGCCTTCGCAATCGAGGACGAGCGCCTGCATCGAACAAATCATACCGTCGGGGATCTGGGCTGATGCTCTTTTGCCCTCCCGGCCACCGCCGCGCACCCTGCGGCGGCGGAGTCGAGCCAGGCGGGCGCACTCAGAGGCGCGCTCGTAGAAGAAGAGCAAAACAAACACGAACAGAAACTTTCGACGGTCCGCGCGGTTTCCTTGGATCTGCGCCAGACGCGGAGCGCGCCAGCCAGGGGGGCCCAGCGTTAGGTCGGGCATGTCCCCCCTACAGGGAGTTTTTGACGACAAAAACCCAAAACTTGTCCATGAAGAATCAAGAATCATCAAAAATCGTCCCCGCACTGTTTTTTGACTATGTTTGAAGATTCCCCCTGTGGAGGGACAGGCCCGACGTAAGCCCACCGCCGATCGATGAAATCCGCGCGGAGCTCTGAACGCTTATATTCACGATGCTTGCTCTTCTTCGAGCTCGGATCGGAGCGCAGCGAGGCCACTTCCGCCGCCGCCGCGGGGCCAGCTCCGCAGTCGCCGGCGGCGGCATGCACCCACGAAGGGTCCCCACCGTGACACTCCACGTCCTGCTTGTCCTGCAGGCATCGATTGTCATGTTGTTGTTTCCGTCGCGTTCTCATCACAAAAGGATGAACTATACTCTTGATCCCACGGGCACGGTGCTTCTCATGTTTGTTCAATTGAAGTGCCCCTCCCGGGATCGCGCCATGATTTGTACAAGGGGGAACCTCGAGGCTCAGAATGCGTTGTTAGGCCCCGGAGCAACAGCAACAGCAACATCACCAGCAACAGCAACAACAAGCATTCTAAGAATGTTCGCTCTTACTTGCCCGCGTGTCATTCAAAACGAGTTGTCCACGCCCTCGTTACCCGCCCTTTGTGTCTTCGATCGCACGGCCATTTGGGGGGATTATATATATTTGCGGGGGGCGGCGGGCTTAGACAGGCGGGCAAACATGAACGGGCGGACGATCCTTCGTGGGCGTACATGTGCCCGCCATTGGAATTGGTGCGGGCCCTGCAAAAAGAGGAGGGGGAGAACGAGGGAAAGTGGGAGGAAGGGAGGGGGAGGGACGATGGAAAAGGGAAAACGCCAGGAGAGAAGGAGCGAAGAGGGGGCGGCTGAATAGAGGCAGGGAGAGAGAGAGAGAGAGAGAGAAAAAGAAAGAAATAAAGAAAGAATATACTCACTGCGTGGAGCCCCCCGTATGTGCATCTATTCGCCTGGACCTGTCCGCCGCGAACGTCTAGGCTCAAGAGCTTTCGAATATAAACGGGCTTCAGTTGTGACGGTCTGGTCAAGATCTAACTGAAAATGAATTGGAGTGTGAATGAGCCTCAGTAGTACGAGCGCGTCTCTGCGCATGAGCCTGGGTCCTCCGGGGGCCTCTGGAGACCTACTGGGGTTTCCTGGGGCCTCCAGGAGCCTCCTGGGGCCTCCTGGGGCCTCCTGGGACCTCCTAGGGAGGATTCGTGCCCCAGGAGAGGCCCAATCTATAGCAACAGACGTTCATAAAAAAATTGCGGATTGGAGCCACAAGAGAAGGGGACAATATATAGGGACACGCGTAAAACACCAAGGACTCGTGACCCAGGAGAGGCCCTATAGGAACATAAGTACACAGGAGAAGGACAATATATAGAAACATACGTATAACATCAAGGACTCGTGTTCCAGATGAGGCCCAATCGACAGGAGCATACGTAAAACACATGGGATTGGAACCACTCCTGTTGCCTTCTGAGGCCTCCTGCTCCCGGGGCCTCTCGGGGCCTCCTGTTCCCTTCCGAAACCTCCTGGCGTTTCCTCTGGCCTCCTGGGGCTTCCTGTGGCTTCCTGAGACCTCCCGGAGCTTCCTGGGGCCTCCTAGAACCTTTTCTTGAATATTTATGTTGCCTCCTGATGCCTCCTGGGACCTCATGTAGTCTCCTGGAACCTCCTGGAGCCTGTTGGAGCCCCCTGTGGCATCCTGAGGAGAATCTGTGTCCACGAGGCCGGCCATCGATCGACACATCCTCAGACTCTGGCCCACCTGGGGGGTGCAAATAAGCGCCTCGCTCGAGACATCCTCCAAATCTGCTCCGAAAGCGAACGATGTTGGGACAGAAAAAAAGCAAACCGCTTGAGACATCCCCACAAAACGGCCGCGAATGGGACCGTGAGATAACCCTGGCGGCTCCCCTTAGGGACGTGGAATGAACGCCTCGCTCGAGACATCCTCCAAGTCTGCTCCGAAAGCGAAGGGAGTTGGGACAGAAAACAAGCAAACCGCTTGAGGCATCCCCACAAAACGGCCGCGAACGGGACCGTGAGATAACCCCTGGCGGCTCCACTTAGGGGAGTGAAAATAAGCGCTTCGCTCGAGACATCATCCAAATCTGTTCCGAAAGCGAAAGGTGTTGGGACAGAAAACAAGCAAACCGCTTGACACATCCCCACAAAACGGCCGCGAACGGGACCGTGAGATAACCCCTGGCGGCTCCCCTTAAGGACGTGAGAATGAACGCCTCGCCCGAAACATCCTCCAAGTCTGCTCCGAAAGCGAGGGATGTTGGGACAGAAATCAAGCACACCGCTTGGGGCATCCCCACAAAGCGGCCGCGAGCGGGGCGCGCGTGAGTCTCAACACGAGTAAATCTGGGCAGGAGTAGGGCTGAGTACGAGCAGGTCTGAGTATGAAAAATGTCATGTGTGAGTAAATCTGAGTATGGAAAAGTCTGAGTGTGAGTCAGTATGTGTATGAATAAGTTTTGGGTATGGGGAGGAAAGGGAAGGAGAAGGACAAGAGGCAGAAAAAGGCGTAGGAGGCGGCCAAGTAATAACAATAACCCCGTTTTAAGAGATGGGGAAATACATATAAGTGAGGTAGGGAAAGAGAGAAAGAGAGAAGGGGGAGAAAGAAAGAAAACAAGAAAGAGGGAGGGAGGAGGCAGGAGGGGGAGAAAAAATGGATAGGAACGATAGGGGATAGGTCAAAGACGCATCAAGATGAGGGAGAAAAGGAAGGAGAGAAAAGGGAGGAGAGGAGGGAGGAGGGAGGAGGGAGAGGGAGGAGGAGCAGGAAGGTAAGAGCGAATCCTGCGTACTTCGAGACTCCACCGTTTCCCAACATCGCACTCATATTTTGGTTCGTTCTTATTTAACGGATGGTTCGGGCGGAAACGTCCTGATAAATGCGCGTGGCACGTAGGAGGCATGGCGCGTATGGGTGACATGACAATTGTTTCTGTCGTTGCTGATTACCAAACAGTCGAATGTGTTGGACACCCCGAGCGCGCTGTCGCGCTCTCGCCTAGACGCCGGCTGCGCTTCTGGTTTTTAATATGCCCAAACTCCGGCATTTCGGGGTTCCGCCAAAACCGGCCCCCAAAAAACACCAACGCCCGGGTTCGATAATTCCTCCCTTTTTCCCGCTCTGGGCCGAGCAGTTCGCTCGGCCCCATAGCCGCCTTCCCAACAAAATCGGCGGCCCCGCTCGATACTTCCCTGCTTTTCACTTCACGGCTGGCGTTCCCGCCGCAGGACCCCCTTGCAAACAATTGCGCCCCCGCTCAATACTTCCTCCGCGTTCACTCAAGACTCCCAGGAGGCCCTGGAGCGTCCCTAACCCCTGCGAGCCTGAAAAACTAAACAAAGATTTTCGCTGGACACACTGAGCTCACTTTCGCGCTCTCGCGCCTTCTCCGCGCGACCTCGCTTTCGCTCGTGTCCTAGGGCGTAGCGTCGTCGCCGTCGTCGCCGCTGCCGCTGCCGCCGCGGCCGCCGTCGTCGTCGTCGTTGTCGCCACGAAGCGAATATTACTGTTTGACACCCTGAATGCGCTTTCGCGCTTTCGCGTCTGCTCCGCGCGACCTCGCTTTCGCTCGTGTCCTGGGGCGTGGCGTCGTCGCCGTCGTCGCCGCCGACACCGCCATCGTCGCCGCCGTCGTCGTCGTCGTCGTACCCAACGCCAGGAAAGGGGTCGAAAACCCCAACGCCAGGAAGGGGTCGAAAGCCCAGGGGTGTCAGGTCTGAAGCTTCTCTCCGAAGGTTTTGGGGGCGTCCACGGGGCTCTCCCAGAGTTCGTGAGGCCTCTCCTTGAGGTCTCTGGCCGCTCAGGCGTCGTAACACCTAAAAGCAAGGCCTGGGCAGGGGGTTCGCGAAGGCGATGTGCTATCCAGGCTGGAGATGTTGAAATGCCTTACAAAAGGTGTTGTCAAATCCTCCCCCGGCGGAACATCAGGGTGAGGGAATACCGGACCCCGTGTGCAATGACAAATCCCCCACGAATGGGAAGCTATCATGATGGATGCATGCTGCATACCGGTGCGTAGGGCATTCGGGTGAAAGTATTGTGGTTGTTGTTGGTGTTGTTCGTATTGAATTCTCATTTCTAAAGAACAAATATGTTTGACCCCCCTGCCAGGCAACATCATGTTTATAATTAGCGTGCTGCCCCCAGGGTTCGCACGCTGCGGCCTCCGGTTTACAACGACAGCGGCTCTCGCCTCATACCTCCACCAATATATTCCCCAATCGCGCTCTTGCGCGGCACTCTCTCGCAATGCCTGCAGGGATCGCGCTCTCGCGTGGGACTCCCTTGCAATGTATTCAGGCGCCGCGCCCTCGACACTCAGGAATCACACTTTCCCCTAGATGTCCCTCACGATTTATTTGGGCATCGCGCTGCAGCTCGAGACTTCCTCGCGATTCATGCAGGACGCACGCTTCAGCAAGCCGCCTATTCGACCTGGCCGCCTGGGCCCGCCTTCCTGACCCACCCGTTAGAATCTACCCGCCCGATCTGCCCGTCTAGTTCTGCAAGGTGTTTTCTGTTCCTGGCCCTCCTCCTGCTATTCTCTCTCCTGTTCCATCCTCCTCCATCCCCCTTGCCCCTTCTGTCCATCCGTCCTCTCTTGCCCTTCCTTGGGGCTGCACGGGATGCGCGTTACAGGTAAAAGCGAATTGCGATATACACCCAGGGGGGTACGATCGAAGACGAAAAGGGCGGGTATCCAGCGTTCGGGATATACGTGATGAAGGGCACGCGAGCAGATAAGAGCGAACAGTACTAGATGTATTGTTGTTGTTGTGGTTGTGGTTGTTGTTGCTGCTGTTGATGTTGTTGACTTCTCATTTCTGAAAGTCACGATTGGCGTGCCCCCCCTCCGGACACCATTGCAGTTTTCAATCAAAGTGCTTTTTCCTGGGGCTCGCACCCGATTCCAAGGGGAACTGAAGGGTCACCAAACTGCGTTGTTGGGTCCTGGTGTGCAACAACAGCGGCTCCCGCCTGATACTTACTCACAAGTGATTCCCAAATCGCGCTCTCGCGGGGGACTTCCTAAACATGCATGCAGGAATCCCGCTCTCGTGTGGCACTTCCTCGCCATGTATTCAAACGCCGCACCCTCGACACTCAGCAACCCCTTTCTCGCTGTGAATTTCCACACGATGTAATCGGGAATCGCGCTATCGCTCGGGAATTCCCCGCGATTCATGCAGGACGCACGCTTCAGCAACACGCCTGCCCCTTGTCCCTTCCTTCCATCCATTACTTCTGTCTTAGAGGCTGCACGAAATACGCGTTGCAGGTAAGGAAGACATACCCCTAGGGGGGCACGATCGAAGACGAAAGTGTGGAGTATCGAGGGTGTGGGATATACGTTATCAATGCCACGCAAGCGCATAAGAGCGAACTGTATCAAAATGATTGTTGTTGTTGACTCTTAATGCCTAAGGAGCAAAAATGGTTGATCCCCCCTCCAATAACCGTTGTATGTTTCAGTTGAAATGGTTTTACCGGCCTGTTCCATACAAGGGGGATCAAGAGGTCACCAAACTGCGTTGCTGGCCTCTAAATAGCAAGAAGGGCTCCCGCGGGATATTTCCCCCCAGTGTATTCCAAAGTCGAGATCTCGCGCGGGACGCGCGCACAATTTATACTAAGTGCACAGGAATCCCGCTCTCGCGTGGGTCTTCCTCGACGCTGATTCAGACGCCGCGCCCTCGACTTGCAGGAATCACGCTCACGCTGTCGAATTCTTCACGATGTACTTGGGAATCGCGCTGTCGCTCGAGAGTTCGCCGCGATCCATGCAGGGCGCACGCTTCAGCAACCCGCCTGCTCCTTTGTCCCCTCCTTCCATCCGTTCTGTTGTTCCCTGCCTTAGGGGCTGCACGAAATACACGTTGCAGGTAACGAAGTTATACCCCGAGGGGTGGTACGATCAAAGACGGAGAGGGCGGGCATCGAGGATTCGGGATACATGTGTTGAATGGCGCGCGAGCAGATAATAGCGAGCAGCCTTGAATTGATACTTGTTGTTGATGTTGACATCTCGCTCTTGAAGAATACTTGATGCTGATCCCCTCTCACCGTTGCACATTCTGGTTTTCAATTGAAAGGCCCCCTTCGGGGCTCGCACCCTGTTTTCTATCAGGGCATATATTCCTGCTCAAACTGGGTTGTTGGGCCCCGAACTCCAACAACCATGTCTCCCGCCTAAGACTTCCTCGGCATGTATTCCAAATTCGCGTTCTCGCGCGACCGCAAGAGATTTTCGCGTTTTTCTCCAACGCCGCGCTCTCGACACTCAAACATTACGCCCTCGCTTGAGCCTTTCTGGCAATTTACTTGGGGATCCCGCTATCGCTCGAGACTTCATCGCGATTTATGCAGGACTCACGCTTCAGCAGCCCGCCTGATCGACATGGCCGCATGGGCCCGCCTTCCCTACCCGCCCGCTAGGGTCTGCCCACCCAAAATGAACGTCTGGTTCTGCCATGAGTGTTCTGCTCCTAGCCCCCCTTCTGAAAAGTTCTCTCGGGCTTTATCCTTCTCACTCCCCCTTCCATTCGTCCACAATTCCCCTGTTTGAGGGGCTGCACGAAGTTCACGTGGCAGGTGAGGAAGACATACACGCAGGGGGCACGATCGAAGACGAAGGGGCGGGTACCCAGGGTTTGGGATGTTAGTGTTGAGCGGCACTCGAGCAAAGGGGGAGCTGTTATGGGCGCACTTCTGCGGAGAGGGCGCACTTCTGCGGAGAGGGGGAGCCGCAAGGACGGGGAGCTCGCGAGTCGTCGCCGCATCCTGCCAAGCCCGCTACAACATCCCTGGACTCGGGCACTTGCCTTGCTCCGATTGGGGAAAATAATCCAAAAATAGTCCGGGGACTATTTTTGGAATCTTTGTTACCTTTTCGGGGCATCTTGTTTTTTCAAATTCTTCGTCGAGAATCCCCCTGTAGGGGGACAGGCCCGACACGTGTCGCGGAGTTTGCGCGGTCCTGCAGGCGCTGCGCCGAGAACTCGGCCGAGAAGCGCAGCCCCTTCTCCCGCAGGTGCGACAGGTGCAGCAGGCGGGTCTGGAGCTCGGAGCTCCGCTTCCACCGGCACGTCGCTGTCGCGAGGAAGGCGAGCAGCATCAAGTTCAGCGGGGCCAGTCGCATGTCCGGGCCACCGATCAAGTAGGCGGCCGCCGCGTATCCCACCACAGCGCACCACGCTAGGGGCACGAAGGACTTCCATCTGACCACCATGCCAGATCCGACGACGCACAAAGCGAGGCCCAACAAGAAAGTAGAGTCTGTCCCTGTAAGGTCCAACCCCCACAAAGCACTCGGATCTTCGCAGGCGAAGGCCCGTGCAATGTAATGTTTCGTTCGTACGCAAGCGTGCACCTGGTTCAAGATCAGAGCGATAACCGAGGATCAACAAACTGCATACACATGCTTTGTCAATGGTCCGCGCGGATGTCTTGGATCTGCGTTGGGCCCCCCTCCTTGGCGTGCGAGCCCGCCAGGGGCGGCGCTGGAGGCGCCGCCAGGGAGGCCCAGCGCAGATGAAAGGCATGAGCGCGGAACCCTGAGAAATCATGCCTTCGCCGTTGCTTGTTCCTCGAGATCGCTGCCAGACTCTCCATCCCGCGCGTGCATATCATGCCGAGGTCCGACAGCAGCACTGCCGCGACCAGCGCCAGCAGCGTCAGGCCGACGCACGCCATACTGAGGGCGCACTGCCGCCGCTTCATGGTCTGCACCTCTGGTGCAAAGCTCTCGCTCGCGTCTCCACCGTACCACAAGTTCAGCATGACGGGCAGCCCGCAGCAGATGAGGACGATGAGGAGAATCAGGGATGACCTGAGGGGAAGGATATGATGGGGGGGGGGGACGGGGGGGACTGGCTCGGAGGGGAGGGGAAACACCGATATGAATTGGCGAAACGTCGCCGATAGAGCGGGGCCAGCCGGAGAGCTGCGGCAATCGCACGTTTTGGCGGCGGGTGGAGGGAGGGGGGAAGGCTTCTTAGAAGGAGGCTGCTTCTTAGAAGGCGGCGGCCTTACATCTGTACACAAGGACCGCGCCTTCTAAGAAGCAGGGGTGCTTCTAAGAAGCCTTCCCCCCTCCCCCTACCCCCCTCTGCGCGTGGCCGAACGCTCCTGGGCAGGGTGTAAAGTCGGCGACGCCTGGGCGGTTGGCTGGTTCCCAGCAAGCGTTATTACGGCGATCGCGCAGCGGCGCCTCCACAAGCTGCAGAGCTGACCCGCAGCGTGCAACCAAGGAGCGCCCAAGCATCCAGCAGGACAAGCGACGGGACGAAGAGGGAGGCCGGGAAAGGGCGCGCGAAAGAGGGAGAGAGGGGGGGGGCGATGGGAGGAAGGCCGCGGACGGCCGCTCGATCAAAGACCCCATGGGCCCCACGAGCCGGCGCCACAAAAAACAAGGCAAGGACAGCCAGGCTGTAGACCTGGGCGCGGGCGAACGGCGGGGGGTTTGGCGAACCCACTCGCGCAGCTGGCTTCTCTGGCGCCTCCCAGCGCTGGCTGCGCTGGCGTACCAAAGAGAGCGCCCGGCGGCGGGGCCGAGACCCAGCTGCAAGCAGCATCCCTCGCAGGATGGCGCACTTCGGGCAGGGGACGGACCACGGAACCGAATTGCCCCGAGACTGCTTGTCTCGTCGAGGCGTTCTCGTAGATCTGCAAGCATTCTCTGCGCTTCTCTCATGGATTCTGCGCGCGCACATCCGTTTGGGGTCCATCAATTCTGCAGTCGATCCCCTACTCGAGCACTGACGCCTCTCTCTCAACGCGACAGCCCTGTCCGGGCGGATGCCCGGGGGGGGGGGGATTCGGCGCCTTCTCGCGGGCGCCCGCCCGCCATGTGGCACGCCAGGTCGTGCGCGTGCAGACGTCTCGGCATCGGAGGAGAGGAAGCGGGGAGGGGAGCGGGGCAACAGACAGGGGCACGAAGAGTCAGCCCTCCGTGAGCAGTTGCTTCACCAGTCGGGGGTAGTGAGGACGAGGCAGGCCGAAGAGGCAGAAGACTGGCCAACCACACTGGCGCTGGCCAGCGTTCCGCCTCCTGGAGGCGAGAGCGGAAGGGATGGGACGAGATGCGGGAGGAATACGCAGCGCATCTTCCATTTGCGGCTCCTTTTTTTCAATGCCCACTACGGCCACCATCAGCACAGCTTTCAGCACGGTTCCTTCTGAAGCCGGTACACATATTCCACCTACTACTCCACTACTGACCCCTGCAACAGGCACTGCAGCGTCTACTACAGCCAGTAACGCAAACGCCTTCGCAGCTGCTCCATTCTGCAGCTCTCACCACAGCTCATGCTGCACCCTGTTCTACAGGTCCTGCGTCGAGCATCCCCTTTTCGGTGCCCCTGACGACCGCAGCTCATGCTGGTGGCTGCGCAGGAAGCCTGTCTCCATCTTCGGGCTGACAAACTTGAGCGTCCAGCCGTCGATCTCGTGGTTGGGCCCCAGCCTCCTCGGTGCCACCTGTGCCGCGGGGGAAAGGGGGATCCGTGATAGAAGCGAGCCCCCGGATACCTCAGGGCACCTGCCATCGCTCGGACGTCCATTCACTGTGCTTGTTTGGGTTTCGTGCGTGGTTTCTTCGCCAGATGATCAAGGATGCTCCTCGATGGTCCTCGCCAGAGGAAAAATGCACACGTCCGAGCGATGCCGAGGGCATCCCCGTGGAGCAGCTCTTCCTCCCGAGCCTCCTCTGGACCCGGGGCCCCAGGGTGGGCCTCCAGGAAGCAGAGACCGCGAAGAACCTCAAGACCACCCCTGGCCATCGCTCGGACGTCCACTTCCTGTGTTTTTTGTCGGCTTCGTGCGTGGCTTTTTCGCCGAATGATCGAGGAGGCTCCTCGATGGTCCTCGCCGCAGGAAGCATGCACACGTCCGAGCGATGCCAAGACCCTTCGCTGAGGATCCCCTGGCTTCGACTGCTGCCCCGAAACAACTCTCGGCCGCCCCATTCCTTCCCCATGTTGAGACGCCCGGAATGGATACGGACAAAAAAACAATGCCCAACAACAAATGTTGTCCCAAACCAACAGCGGCCGCTATTGGGCAGGCGGCCTTCTGTCGCGAATGGGCACAGGCCGCGGCGACATCGACAGCGAGTCCTGTTCAAAATGAAAAGGAACTACTGTTGGGCATTATGCCCGTTCTTTCCGTACCCATTTCGATCGTTTCCATGATGGGGGGTGCGTCTAGAAAATATTCCCGAAGATGAGCTGGCCGTTGCGACGAGGAGCCCCCCTGCAGCCCCCAAGAGCGGCGGCAGAACCCAGAAACCCTCAATGCTCGAACCTGGATTACAAGCGGACTCGGGGAAATTAATGAAACATCGCCAACACACCAATTCTCAAACACCGAAAAAAATAAATATCGTCCCCAGACGATTTTCTGCTGATTACTTTTGAATAGTCACCCTGTAGAAAAAACATGCTTGACTTACACCTGGACCTCCTCACTCGCACCCTCGACGTCATCGTCTTACGCGACGAGGGCCCCCGGAGGTACGGGCCCCTGGAGGTTCGGGAGCGGCTTCTCCTCCCGAATCGGTTCGTGGACGGCGAGAACTGTCAAAAGCTTTCCGCCATGGGAAAACGCGAGGGGCTGCCATGGTCAATAGCCTTCCGCCATGGTCGACAACCTTCCGCCATGGACGGAAAGCTTCAGGCCTTCCGCCATGGTCAAAGGCCTTCCGCCATGGTCGACTGCCCCGAGGGGCCGAGGACTGCTCAAGACGCGACGGGAGGCCTGGGCATGGCGACCCCTCGACGCCACCTGCGCGAGCCCACGCCACGCGCGAGCGCAGCCGCCGCCGCGCGGCGGCGGCGCCGTCCTCTGCGCATCGCCTGCGAGATTCAGCGCCATGACGAGGCCCCGGAGGGGTAAGATTAAGTCGAGCCTGTCCCCCTACAGGGGGATGTTCGACGAAAAATAAAAAACCCAAACATGCTCCAAACATATTCTTAAAATAGTCTGAGGACTATGTTTGGAATATGTTTTGACCTTTTTGGGGTTTGTTGGGGGTATTTTTTCACTTTTTCGTCGAAAATGCCCCTGTATGGGGACACGCCCGACCTAAGGGTAAAACTGCGGCGGGCGCCGCCCCGCGACCGCGGCGGCCCGAGCCGAGTGTCTTGCTTCGGGGAGAGAAGGGGCCAACAGAGCAAAGCACAACCCGGCGGCGAGCCTGGGGGGAAGCAAGAAGGAGCTGGCCCTCTCAGAAGGCTCGGAGGTCCCCAGGCCTTCTGAGAATCTCTCTGTCAGCATCCCCAGAAGACACAAGGAGCACTTCTCAGAAGGCGCGAGGGGCCTCCGAGAAGCCCGGGCCGCCTTCTGAGAAGGCCTCCTCCTTCTCATTTCCCCCCCCTCCTCCTTCTCATTTCCCACCCTCTGCTCGGCCCCCTCCTCCTCCTCCTCCTCCTCCTCCTCCTCCTCCTCCTCCTCCTCCTCCCCCTCCTCCTCCTGATCCTGATCCTCCTCCTCCTCCTCCTTCTCCTCCTCCTCCTCCTCCTCCTCCCTCCTCCTCCTCCTCCTCCTCCTCCTCCTCCTCCTCCTCCTCCTCCTCCTCCCCCTCCTCCTCCTCCCCCCCTCCTCCCCCCCCGCGCTCGCCGCCGAACGCTCACCGGCCAGGCGTCCCGGGCGCCGGCGCGGAAGCTGCGGATGGAGTGCGCGGGTGCTCGCTCGCGCGGGCCGAGCCGAGGGGGCCCGGGCTCCGGAGGCCCAGGGCCAACAGCGGCGCCGAGTTGCCTCCTCGCCCAGGGCTCCCGCCGCCCTCCACCGTCGGGGGCTTGGAAAGGGGCCCGGGGACACACAAAATATGAATACACACACAAATCGCAGGATTCCCCATCTTTTCCCATATTTCCTGGGTTTTTGTCTTCCCACCCACTTCCTATATGTTCCAATGTTTTCGGAGGAATCGACGATTATTTGTCTCTGTGTTTTTCCTCTCCTGAGCTTGCCGCCGTCTGCGGCCCGCCGCCTCCGCAGGCCTTGCGGCGGCGGGAGCTGTTGGTCGCTGCTGGGGCTCTGTTTGAGCGCTGCTCGCTCGGCGCTACTGGGCGCTGTTGCGCACCGAGCCCGGGGCGCAGGAAGGACGTGCTGGCACCACGCGTCCTCCCCGGAGGCGCGCGTCCGACCCGGACGTGATAGCACATCCATCTTATAGTAGGCCGCTTCCCGAGCGGCACGGCCAGAGAGCGCCCGCCACAAGGCAGATACCACGAGATGTCTCGGCGCGCGCGTGGCCCCTTCGGGGGCGACGCACACATGGCATCGGTATGCTAAGTTGGCGCCGATATGTGGCGCGTTTCGCCCACACACGCTCAATCCCAGACGAATGGGAGCGTCTGCCGGTATTATTAAGCATCAGATGTCGGATGGCCCCGGGGCCCGGCGAGGGCAGAATTATCCCGGCAAAGCAACCTAACAGCGATGTGTAGGAGCATATCTGGAAGCATTCCCCTTAAGATTCAGTAATAGAATTCTGCTGTTCTCGCAGTCGTAGTCGCATTCGCGATGACAGTCGCAGTGGCAACGGCAGTCGCAGTCACAGCCTCAGCCTCAGCCTGCCTCAGCCTCAGCCATAGCCTGCCTCAGCCTCAGCCTGCCTCAGCCTCAGCCTCAGCCTGCTTCAGCCTCAGCCTCAGCCTGCCGTCGGCCTCGGCCTCAGCCTGAGCCTGCCTCAGCCTCAGCCTGCATCAGCCTCAGCCTCAGCCTCAGCCTGCCTCAGCATCAGCCTGCCTCAGCCTGCGCCTCAGCCTGCCTCAGCCTCAGCCTCAGCCTGCCTCAGCCTCAGCCTCAGTCTGCCTTCAGCCTCGGCCTAAGCCTCAGCCTGCCTCAGCCTCAGCCTGCATCAGCCTCAGCCTCAGCCTCAGCCTGCCTCAGCATCTGCCTCCTCAGCCTCAGCCTGCCTCAGCCTCAGCCTGCTTCAGCCTCAGCCTCAGTCTGCCTTCAGCCTCGGCCTCAGCCTCAGCCTGCCTCAGCCTCAGCCTGCATCAGCCTCAGCCTCAGCCTCAGCCTGCCTCAGCATCAGCCTGCCTCAGCCTCAGCCTCAGCCTGCCTCAGCCTCAGCCTCAGCCTGCCTGCTCAGCCTCAGTCTGCCTTCAGCCTCGGCCTCAGCCTCAGCCTGCCTCAGCCTCAGCCTTCCTCAGCCTCAGCATCAGCCTGCCTCAGCATTCAAAATGTGGCCCGGGAATGGAATTCTGGGAACTCGAAGACCACGAAGTGGCCTACAGTTGGCTCCGGGCATTCAACATGTGGCCCGGGAATGGAGTTCTGGGAATTCGAAGACCACGAAGTGGCCTACAGTTGGCTCCAGGCATTCAAAATGTGGCCCGGGAGTGGAGTTCTGGGAACTCGAAGACCACGAAGTGGCCTACAGTTGGCTCCGGGCATTCAGAATGTGGCCCGGGAGTGGAGTTCTCGTTCTGGGACCTCGAAGAGCACGAAGTGTGTAACTGTTTGCTTAAAACGACTTCCGCGGATTCTCCCCGCATCCTGCCCGGACCCCCCTGGGGAGTCATGATGCTCTCTTTTGAGACCACTAGAAACAAATCAATCTTCGCTGTTAGGTAAAAAAACGAAGACAGACACATACAGCAATAATTATCCCGGCAAGGCAAACTAACAGCGATGTGGAGGAGCATATCTGGAAGCATTCCCCTTAAGATTCAGATGAGAATCCAGTTGAAGAATTCTGCTGTTCTCGCAGTCGTAGACGCATTCGCGCTGACAGTCGCAGTGGCAACGGCAGTCGCAGTCACAGCCTCAGCCTCAGCCTGCCTCAGCCTCAGCCTGCCTCAGCCTCAGCCTCAGCCTCAGCCTGCCTCAGCCTCAGCCTCAGCTGCTTCAGCCTGCCTCAGCCTCAGCCTCAGCCTGCATCAGCCTCAGCCTCAGCCTCAGCCTCAGCCTCAGCCTCAGCCTCAGCCTCAGCCTCAGCCTGCCTCAGCCTCAGCCTCAGCCTGCTCAGCCTCAGCCTCAGCCTCAGCCTCAGCCTCAGCCCTCAGCCTCAGCCTCAGCCTCAGCAGCCTGCCTCAGCCTCAGCCTCAGCCTCAGCCTCAGCCTCAGCCTGCTCAGCCTCAGCTCAGTCTGCCTTCAGCCTCAGCCTCAGCCTGCCTGCCTCAGCCTGCCTCAGCCTCAGCCTCAGCTCAGCTCAGCCTCAGTCTGCCTTCAGCCTCGGCCTCAGCCTCAGCCTGCCTCAGCCTCAGCCTCAGCCTGCCTCAGCCTCAGCCTCAGCCTGCCTCAGCCTCAGCCTCAGCCTCAGCCTGCTTCAGCCTCAGCCTCAGTCTGCCTTCAGCCTCGGCCTCAGCCTCAGCCTGCCTCAGCCTCAGCCTGCATCAGCCTCAGCCTCAGCCTCAGCCAGCCTCAGCATCAGCCTCAGCCTCAGCCTCAGCCTCAGCCTGCCTCTGCCTCAGCCTCAGCCTGCTTCAGCCTCAGCCTCAGTCTGCCTTCAGCCTCGGCCTCAGCCTCAGCCTGCCTCAGCCTCAGCCTGCATCAGCCTCAGCCTCAGCCTCAGCCTGCCTCAGCCTCAGCCTGCCTCAGCCTCAGCCTCAGCCTCAGCCTCAGCCTCAGCCTGCCTCAGCCTCAGCCTCAGCCTGCCTTCAGCCTCAGCCTCAGTCTGCCTTCAGCCTCGGCCTCAGCCTCAGCCTGCCTCAGCCTCAGCCTGCATCAGCCTCAGCCTCAGCCTCAGCCTGCCTCAGCCTCAGCCTCAGCCTCAGCCTCAGCCTCAGCCTCAGCCTCAGCCTCAGCCTGCCTCAGCCTCAGCCTCAGCCTGCTTCAGCCTCAGCCTCAGTCTGCCTTCAGCCTCGGCCTCAGCCTCAGCCTGCCTCAGCCTCAGCCTGCATCAGCCTCAGCCTCAGCCTCAGCCTGCCTCAGCATCAGCCTGCCTGCCTCAGCCTCAGCCTCAGCCTGCCTCAGCCTCAGCCTCAGCCTGCTTCAGCCTCAGCCTCAGTCTGCCTTCAGCCTCGGCCTCAGCCTCAGCCTGCCTCAGCCTCAGCCTGCCTCAGCCTCAGCCTCAGCCTGCCTCAGCATTCAAAATGTGGCCCGGGAATGGAATTCTGGGAACTCGAAGAACACGAAGTGGCCTACAGTTGGCTCCGGGCATTCAAAATCATGCCCAGGAAGGAAATTCTGGGAACTCGAAGACCACGAAGTGGCCTACAGTTGGCTCCGGGCATTCCAAATGTGGCCTTGGAATGGAGTTCTGGGAACTCGAAGACCACGAAGTGGCCTACAGCTGGCTCCGGGCATTCAAAATGTGGCCCGTGAATGGAGTTCTGGGAACTCGAAGAGCACGAAGTGGCCTACAGTTGGCTCCGGGCATTCAGAATGTGGCCCGGGGATGGAGTTCTGGGACCTCGAAGACCACGATGTGTTTAACTCTTTGCTTAAAACGACTTCCGCGGCTTCTCCCCGGCACCCGCCCAGACACCCCTGGGGAGTCAAGATGCTCTCTTTTGACACTATTAGAAACCTATCAGTCTTCGCTGTTAGGAAAAAACCCGAGACAGAGAAGAACAACTCCGAAAGACAGCAACAACCCAAGACAGAAACAACCCCAGGCAAAACAAACACGAAGAGAGAAGAAACACGGAAAGCAAAAACCCTGTCGGCGGTTCTGTTCCGTCTTCTCTCCTCTGTCCTCTGTGCCCCGAAGGGCCGAAAGGGGCCGAAGGCGGCGCAACGAAACCCTTCCGTCGTGGTCGTTGTTCGCGGCGCGAGGGGGAGCCTCTGGGAAGGATGGCTGCTGCAGAGCGGGCCGGGGCCGCGTCGTGGGCCAGGGCCACCCACCAACCACACGGAGGAGGAAGACGGGCCCCGGGGGGGGGGGGAGGGCTGACTAGAGGCCTCCCAGGTGTTGACAA